GCTGCGCTGCTCGAGGCTCTTGGGGCGACATATTGGCACCTGGGGCCGCGCGGCCGCTCCCGGTCTGAGGCAAGGCCGAGGGGAGAGCGAGCCCTGGGAGAAGCCTCTCCGCAGCTGGGTGTCTTGGTGCTGGCCCAGGGGTCTGTGCCACTGGGGGCCATGGTGCTTCCAGGGGCGTTTTGGGCTGAGAAACAGCAGCCCCTACAGCAACCTTGGCGGTGTTTTCATGTATAACTTGCTGAAACCTCCATGTTCAGTGGTTGTGTTGCCCCTCCTGGCCCTTGGCTGTCCGCAGCCGAGGCCGTGCAGCCTCAGGATGAGGCAGCCCAGGGGCACTGTGCCACCAATGTCCTGCTGTGTCCCCTGGTGAGCACAGCCACGAAGGGCGATGCCACGTTTGCTGCTGCTGCTATGACCCTGGCAGAGGGGCAGAGCGGGGCCGAGGAGCATGAGGAGCTTGAGGCAACGTGGCAGCTGCCCTTCTGGACCTGGCGCGGTGCAGCTGCAGCTCAACAGCAGCCGGCGGTGACAGCAACTCTTGGTGTGGGCAGCCTGGAACCTCCTTTGGTATCTTCTCCGAGAGACACCGGTGCTGGTCACAAGTCTGAGGTGGAGCTGGGAGAGCTGCTGACGGATGGCAGGTGCAGAGGGGGTCACCTGGAGCAGGTCTGGAGACCTGAACACTGCAGTGTTATAGTCAAGGGTGCCATGTTCTCTGGATAGCGCTGTAGATCTCTCACTGAGCAAGCAGAAGTACCTGAGCCAGCAAAGGATCAAGTAGTGTAGTTACAGTGTGAGAAGCTCCTTGTGGGTTAATCTGTTCTCTGAGAGGTATCTCTTAGCTGGAGGTATTTTGAGAGAAGTGGGGCAGCACGTGAAAGGGTTCTTGACCATGGTTGGGCATGCAAGAGAAGCAGAGGAAATAGGGTCATGTATTATCCTTCTGCTGTTTTTTTTTTTTTTTTTTTCCCTCACCAGGGAATAACACTGATGGGACCTGGCAGAACAAGGAAGCTGGGGACACAGACATTTCTTTGGGCGGCAGGGACATGCCTGATGCTCATGGTAAGGGAGAGAACTTGCCTGTGCTCACAACCCTTGCTCAGGGCAAGGAGGCAGCTCGTAGAAGATGGAAAGTGGTGCAGGCTTGCTTACCTCTGCAGCACACAGCCTCTAACTCTCTACCTGCCTAGAAATGTCAGGGGTACAGCTGACCTCATTTTCATTCACAGAAACAGAGCAGGGGGGTTATCCTCCCCCCTTTGGTACTCCTGCACTTAGAGAGAAATGGGAAGCAGGGCCTCTGTGGTTTCAGCTCCACTGAGCTGAAAAAGGAAGCTAGCGATGTGGAAATTAGGTTAAACTACATAAGTAGGCAGCTTTCTGCACGTAACTAATCTGCTAAGGAGCAAGCTTGGCTGCTGTGTATAGCAACGCTCCAGTAAATTCCAGTCCAGTGGGTAACTAAGGCACAAACCCAGGCTCCTCTGCTTTGTTTGCGGGCCAGGGCAGGAGAGAAGAGATGGAAAGTGACGTGGAAATAGGATCTGGAGGGGGAACGTTAATTCTTCTCCTTGGGAATGGAGGGAGCAGGTCACCTGAGCCAAGGGCTGTGCATTATGTCCTGATATGAGACCAAGGGGGAGCAGCTGATAGAAATATTGGCTTGGATGTCAACTTTAACCCTTTGGCTGCAGTGTCTGATTTACAACATAGATGTGACTGTGCTGTCTTAATAATCCACTGCTGCTCTCTAGAAACATCTACAGATCCCTCTTCCTCTGTCTTGCACAGGGATGCGCATGGGTTTCATATTGCATCTGCAAGCTAAACCATGAGTAGTCCCCAGGCCTGGCAACACATCTGTATCACGACATGGACAGCTTGTGCCTGTATCCAGCTGTGCACAGCTTGTACACGTGGTGGCTTTCAAGGAGCAGGCAAGTTGCATCAACTGGTCCAAGTGAGGGACAGGATCCTTTGTCCAGCGGAATAGGTTGAATGTTGGCGTGCCCGACAGGGGGATGACCAAGTAAATGCCAGCCACGGATCAGCACAGGTTGAGTGCAAAATTGCACTCAGTCTCACCTCATAATTACCTCCAGGCACTAAATGACCAATGCTTCATTAAACATGCTATTTTTGGCAAGGTGATTGCAGGAGAGACTGGGGAGATGTCCCCCTGCAGTTCCCTGCCCTGAAGCATTACTTGAGAGCATGGGGCTGCTTCTCAAGTTCATCTCTCCTGCCTGCTGCTTATAGCAGCAGTGCTCTGGGGAGACAAATCCCCTGCCTTGCTTTGTGCTCAGATACACGAGGGAAAAATGAGCAGGAGCTAAGGGGCCAAGGCTTTGGCTCACTCAACCTGCACAGAGGAGGATGCAGGAGGAGCGTTTTGTCAAGAGCTAGGCACTAGTGCCTTGTCATGTGCAGTTACCCAGCAGGTTTGAGGAAGGTAGTTTATTATTTACTCTGTGGGGCACCGGGAAGGAGAGTTGACTCTGCCCTGATGACATAAATCGTTAACACATAAATGGAGAATAAAAAGGTGGCCCATCAGCTAGAGCGAGACTAGGTACAGGAAGAAAAGCAAATGGGAGCTGCCTACTTGCCACCTGAAATGACAAGGTGACAGAGTATAACAAGCAAGGACTGTAAAAAGGGTTGCAATCCCACACTGTGCAGAGAGAGGGCAGCCACAGCATGCTTTTATATATTCACGTTTTATGACTTGTGTGTGTATATATATATATATGTATATATATATATATATATATAACTTTTTAATCTAAACCTTATATATTTAGTTCATCTGAAAAATAAAAGGGGGCTCACAATTCTCGTAGAGCTACCCCTCCTCAAAGGGAAAGGAGGGAGAATTTAGATTTGCTCCAACAACCATAGCAGGACTTAACGGCATTAAAGGCAGGGATGGAGTTGTAACGCTTGGGCTGGAGTCTGGCACGATGGAGTTATAACGCTCGGGCTGGTAGCTAGAAGACTGAAGTAGGCCCGAGCGGCACCGTCTTTCTTGCTTTCTTTGCACGTGCCTCCGGGCTGGATGCTGCTATGGCTGCGTCCTTTACCACCAACACAGGCACAGGGCCAAAGAGCGTGGTCCCGAGATGCCCTGTGCCACATGCTCATTTGTGGGAACACCAAAAGAGGGAAGGTCCTTGGCTTTCTTCAGTCTGCGTGTGAGGGAAAACTCTCAGGCTGGCTCCTCTCCCACAGTCATCCAGAACTACTGGAAGAGAGAAAAGCTGAAAACTCCGTATCAGCTAACAGCTTTCTACTTTTGGACCAGTACAAGTTAGACCAGTGAGGAAAAATTGCACCCAGATTGTGCAATGGTGAAGTTCAGGTAAGCCTAGCCTGGGTTGCTCCTTTTCCACATAGTTATTGGTGTGTTCCTGCATCCGGATGCTGGAGCTGAATGTGCCAACTTCATTATTACCATTGTAGGCTCTCCTGCTTCTCACTTTATGGAAGCGCATTTAGTGGGGAGAATTTGTCAAGGACTTTCTCTTAAGGCTCAGGAATCCCTTCAAAAAATTAGGCCTAGGGCCTAGTGGAAGATCCAGAGCGTTCAACAGACCGTGTATGTGGAGGGTGCCTCTGTGTACCTGAGAGAAATGAGGTAAAACGTGCATCTGGGAGAGATGAGAGCAAGGTGCTTGAGGATGAACTAGCCTGGGCAACAGAAATAGCCACAGAAAGCGGTATGCACGCTGTGCTGCAGTCCCAGAGAGTGAAACAGGCAGAAGGGAGATGAGAACAAAAGGTGCTGTGGAAGCAGGACAGCGATGTAATTTTACATGTGCAAAGAAAAAAAGGCGACAGTGAAGTGAGGCACCAGCTTGGACCAAGTGAGTGGAGAGAGAAGGATCCAGCTGGAGCATGACAGGAAAGAGATGACAGGGTGAAGCATTGTGTTGTTTCAAAAAACCCCAGCAGGATAAAAAGTTCATGTGCCTTTTGGCAGCTATTGAAAGCTGTCCAAGAGAGGCCACGTAACATGGAATATTTGAAGTAGGACAGAAGTGCAAAGAAATCTGTTTTCAGTCTGGGAAGAGACAGACGAACAAGGACCCAGCACACTCTCCTGTTACACAACTCGGCTCAAAGGTAAGACATCATTCAGCACCAACAACAATTTATTTTTTCCCTCTCCAGTACGGGAACAGAGCGCATAGCCCTGGGTTTATAGGAGCAAGCACAAAAACAGGAGAAGGAACAAACTGAGCTGGGAATCCCAGCTAAGCGCGCAAGTAACAAGACTGCTCTACCCCAAACAGCCCAGACCTGCGCTGGAGAAGAGCCTGATTCTTCCAAGCCACTGAAGTGCTGTCCGTTCTGCTGCCCAAAACTGGCACCCAAAAGAGAAGTCCAGGAAAACAACATGAAATCAAGTCTCACTCCTGTTGTTCTGTCCTCTTTCTAGGAGACAGCAGGTAACACTGCCCTACACAGCCCCAAAAGTAGTGAAGGAAGCAAGTCCGGGTTTGTGAAACTACAGGGTCAATGCCGCAGCCTTGGCTGTTGTGTTCAGTAGAGCATTGGAAACAACTGGAATGTCTCTGGCAACTCTCTGAAAGGGTGGCACGTTGGGTCCTTCCAATGTGTCCAGGATACCTACAGGGAGTAGAAAAAAAGGTTAGAGTGGGAAGAATCAGATACAAACTTTATTTCTTGGTGGTCTCTCTGGCCAGTGGCTGACCATGAAAGGGCCTAGAGTGCAGGAAACATAGAAGGAAACATCTAACCCAAAGAGATGGACAGCCTTTGGCTTCAGATAAAGCAGTAAACACTTCCACCTAGACAGCGCTGTGTTCACATCGGAGCTTACCCCTGGGGCAGGGAAACTGTGTCCTCAGGAGAGCAGAGCTCAGGTCACCTTGAGAGTGCCAAATCCAACCCCTGCCTCCTGACCTGAATGCAGATGCTGCTGAGGGATGCTGCTTTGCCAAGGCAGCCTGGTAAAATCCTCTGCCCACCTCATCCCTCCCAGTACAGACCCTGGCCTCTCTTAGATCAACTGGATGCTTCCTTCCTGACATGCACGTGCAGACTTACATCAGGAGCAGCTGCAGCTGGGGATGCAATATGGAATTTGTGTTGCTGCAGTGTAAACACAGAACAGGTTTGGCAGCAAACACAGGTACTGATCCAAGTGCCATCCAGACTTTATCAGTTACCCTCTTGAGACTGATACTCAGTTCTGGAGATCATTTCAAAAAACTGCTTGGAATATATATTATCTCCTCAAGAGCCACAGAGTGGGGCTCCAAACCCTGGCCATGAGAATGTATCTGGGAAGGATCTGTTCTCAAAGAAATGTATTTACATTTAAAAGGATTTTAATGTCATGCTATAATCCCCAATTATTCAGTCTTCTGTGCAGTATCATGAACAGGACTGTTTGTCAAAACTCAAAAATGGACTAGAGAATGGCACATTTAGGAATCTGGAAACTCTCTAGTCATTAAAATCTAGTGCTGGCCACTCCTTGATAGGAGGTTGGCACAGATGGCCCCAAGGCAGACCCAAACCAGACATATTTTTTGAAGGAGAAAAGAGCTCTTCCCCCAGACCTAACAGGCACTGCCTTCCTCCTGCCCTTTCTTACCTTCTACCACCTTGTGATAAGCAAAGTGCAGGTAGAGGAGGAAGAGCATATGCAGAGCAGCAAGGGTCCCACACAGAATGAGCCTCTGAGTGTGTCCCACTGTGCGCGACACCAGCACAGCAACCTAGGAGAGAGGAGGAGATCAGGGACAGGGCACCTGCTGCCTTGGTGTTGCAGGCAGGAGCACGCAGGCAGATGGCTCAAGTGGGGAGAGCCAACAGAAACACTGCTCAGAGGCCCTTCAGCAGTTCACAGCACCACGTTCAAAGTAATCTGATTTTGTTTCATGTAGGGGAAGCTTGTCCAGCCCTGTCAGGAGTTCCAGATGCTCAGGCAGGCCTCTCCACTGCAGCAGGGGCCGTGAGGGAGCAAGGCTCCTGCAGCCAGTAGAGCTGGTGAGGATATTAGCCAGACACCAGCAGCCAAACAACCCTGGAGCACCAGGCTGTTCTTCATCGCAGCCCACCTGGCTGCCCAGCAGTAAGAACTACCTCCACAAGGAACAGAAGGCAAGTGACATTTCCCTTTCCAATCCTCCCCAGAGCAGGAGGACAGCAGGCTCCCTGTCCCTTACCATTCGTAGTGTAGACAGTCCACCAACACCTAACCAGAATATGTAGAAGAGGGAGTGGAAGTGGATATTATAGGTGACAAAGAGGGTGATGCAATGCCCAAAGAGACCATAACCCTGAAAAAAAAAACAAAAATATGCGTGTTATAAGTGGCAGTTGACATGAAGGGCCACTGGTCACAAGCATGAGTAACCTGCAGCATTGCAGTGAGGCAGAGCTTCACCTAACACTCATTCAAAGCCAGAGAGTCAACCAGCACACCAAATGTCTAAGCCAGCATGCCATGGGAGCAGCTCACTCCTGGCTTATCTGTCTGGAGGATTCACAGGGATGATGGAGATCATAGCAATTTGGGAAACAGAGAAAGTCAGCCTCTGTTTCCAGAGAAACTGGAACCTCCTGTTTTGAAGCCCCATGCTCTCAGTTGAGGAAGTGCAAAGCAGGAGATCTTCATGAAGCAACAGCCACTTTGCAGTTATCCTCGTGCCTGGGATGGGGCAGGTCACAAGAGCAACTTGGAATTTGAGGCTATCCCCACACAGTAGGACTCCAGTCATCTGGGACCACTGCTTTAAAAGATTTTCACACTTATGGGAAGATCCCACACACTGCCCTTCTGCTGAAGCACCGTGCAGCTAACCTGGGTCTTAGGGCAGCCCTATCCATACGTACCAAGAGTGACAGCATCTGCACCATTGTGATTTGGGCGTTGCACAGATATGCCAGGAAATAGATGAAGGAAGAGACGCCCAACCAGTAACCGAAGCAGGTGCCAATGGCTGTGCCCATGAGTGTGCCTTCCCGCTGCAGAGACAGTATCAGTGTGAGGAGAACGCCAAGAAGTGACCCGCTGGTACCCAAATTCCGCCTCCAGGAGTTCCCAGAGCCTCTGCTGAACAGCAGCATCCAGGATGCCATGTGACCCCTCCCAGCAACACAGTGTCGAGACTTCCCAGTGCTTTCTTCCTCCCACCCCTAAGCTAACAGGCTCTTCCTCCAGTCAGTCTGCTTCTCGGCAAGTCATGGAAGAGATTCCCTCTCCCTTTCTGGTGTCCTTAGGGCAATCCAGGTCTTGGCACAAACCCCAGCCTATCACCGGGACTCGCCGTACAATGATGGTGTCCGAAGTCTTCATCCCATGCAGGAGGATGGCCACCAGCGTGAAAACCAGCATGAGGGGCCCGTAGAGCTCACCAGCAATTTTCTACAGAAGGAAACAGACCAGGGAAGGTTTGGTTAGTGCTCCTGAACACCAAGCTCCTCGTCTCAAGCCATGTAACAAATGCCTCGGGTAAAATTTATCACCTACCCACCAGCTACTGGTCTGAGAAGGACCAGTCAGGCCACAGGAGATGGGGAAAATAATGTATACGAATAGGAGCCGAAGTGGTGTTAAACAGGTTGCGTAAATGCAGTAAGTGAAGTTTGGAGAAGTAGAGCTGTACCAGCACTGCAAGTAACAAAGGGACTTAAACTCTTCCCCAGGGTGCTTCTAACAGCAAACACTGAGGGAGATGAACACCTAACATACTCAGGACCCCATTAAGGTAACATGGGCTAATTAAAATCTCCAAGGGGCCAGTGGGACGTTTGCTTGAGCCACAGAGTCTGATTCAGCAAAAGGGAACTCACTTGTGGGAAATTCACCATCTTCACGGGGATCATGGACTCTAGCAGTCTGGTCACAGAAAAGCACATCGGAGCGACGTCAGAAGTGGGGAAAACAACAAGGTTAACAAAACCCCAAAGATACCATACACCAGTCACCAGTGTTTTCGTGTTGTGCTTCATGGGGCTTGCTGGACAGCAATCCCTTCTAGAGGGTCACAGAAGGGGACTGCAGAAAACAAACTTGCTGCCAACAGGTTAACTTTGCTGGGGGGATTAACGGAAACGTAGAGGGATCCACTGAGGGATGGGGAGCTCACTGCCAGGCCAGCAAGCCCTGCTAGTTTTTTGAGCGCCGCTGCTGCCCACCTGGCGCGCACTTGCGCAGGCTCCACGTCGAAGTACGGCCGGAGGATGTCGATGTTGGCGTAGAGGCTGAAGGCCTTGCTCGCCT